AAAAAAAAAAAAAAAAAAAAAAAAAAAAAAAAAAAAAAAAAAAAGAAAATAGATAAATGAATGAATTTCTTTGGGCTGTAACAGATGTATATCATGAATATCTGAGGACAGATGACACAACTGAATGAAAGATTATTTTACATGCAATAATACATGAATGAATTATAAAAAAAAATTCAAAGTCTTTTTGTTTGAAGCTTCGCTTGCAAAAAAAATTTAATTTGAAAATTAATTGATTCACTCTTAATTAAATAAGAATGATACAATTGGATGCAAAATTATTTTATAAGCAAAAATAAATAGAAAAAATGAAATAAAACATTTTTATTTAGCACCTTGTTTAATTTTTTTTCCTTTCTCTAATATATAAAAAAAATTTATAAAATTTCCTAAAATTTCCTCTCCCAGTTGCATCATTCGGCCTAAGATACCTTATCTATGTATATAGAAAATTTTATAATTAAAGAATATTTAAATTATTAAATTTCATTTCGTTTTAATGTATTGTTAACGTGTCCATTAAACATTCTTAATTATATATTAATTATATGTTGATTTAAAAGATATTTTGCAACAAAAAGGAAAAGAAACAGAGTAAATTAGAGAGAGAATTAGAGAGAGAAAGAGAGCGAGAACGACAGCAAGAGTGAGAGCAAGAGCGAACGAATGAGTGAGCGAGCGAGCGTGAGAGTGAGTGAGTGAGTGAGTGAGTGAGTGAGTGAGTGAGTGAGTGAGTGAGTGAGTAAGTGAGTGAGTGAATGAGTGAGTGAATGAGTAAGTGAGTGAGTGAGAGAGAGAGAAAGAGAGAGAGTGAGAAAGAGAAACAAAGAGAATGATGCGAAAAAAAAATAGATAAATTTATCACCCAAATTATAAATTAAAATTTATATAAAATAGAAAAATATTAGAAATAGCAAACTGTGCATTACTAAAAATTAAACTATATCAGATATATAGATATATGAAATTTAAGAAAATTGACATGATCAAAAGAAGAAGTAATATCTTTTAAATTAAAAATAACTATTTTTTTTTTTTCTTAAAAAAATCGCTATTCTTATTCAATCTATATATTAAATTATTTTTTAATTTTCTAAAAATAAAATAAGAAAAATCAAAATAATAATAATGAAATTAGCATAATCCTAACAAATTACCGAGCTATCAAGCTACCAAGCTATGCTGCTATGATTAATCGATTTAAATTTATTTGAAATTAAATTATAAATTATTGTAATTTTCGAATAATATTTGAATAATAATAATAATTGTGATGATAAATGTATGATGAAATATATGTTTCGCAATAAGCGATTTATTAACTATAAATCATTCTTGGCGGAAAATCTTTGAAATTCTTAAATTGACTTAACGAACTAATGTTTTTTTCCGTTTATATTTTTATGAACACGCATTATTCTCAAAATCCTTATTCTTATAAGTAAAAAATAAATTAGTCATTGAGAAAAAAATTATTCTATGAACAATAATCTATAAAAGATTTTGAGAATGTAATAAATATGCAGTATCATATAGAGAATTATATAAAATCCTTACGTATAATATATATATATATGTGTATGTGTGTGTGTATATATATATATACTCTTACGTATAATATATATATATATATATACTATATATATTATATAATACGTATTATATATATATATATAATGCGTGCCAATGTATATACGCGTAATGGAAAATGAGTTACTTTCTATAACTATAAGTTCGCAAACATCACTTTTTAGATAGACATTTGTCCATATCAATCTCCGTACACTCAAAACATAAATTACTTCGTATTATAATTTGAACAAATTTTTATTCGATTAACATGTAATTGTAAAATATACATATTAATACGCATATATTATACGCATATATTATTTGTAGTAATAAATAATCTGTCGTAACACGTACATGTTAATCTACATATCGTGTATACCTGTATTTATATACGTGTATATACATACATGCGATTGTACATATACGTATATATATGCA